ATGAATGCAAACATCTTTGCATCATAGTGATTGTTATTCATATCAGAAACCAGGTGCTCAAATGAATCTGGCAGTGTTAGACCAGCTGGGATTTCCCCAGACTTCACTTCGTTTAGGATTTTGTAAAAGTCTCTGACCAATCGCTGCGGCATCATCACCACAACCACAAAATGGGGTCAGATAACTTCTACCCAACGTTTCACAGATATAGTAATGTAATATACAGTTAATTTTAAGTGAAAAAAAAATATGGATTACCCCTGAATTGTCAACTCTACTGAGAAACCTTGGTCCTAACCGCCTGCCTAAACAACCTGGAGAACAAAACAGGACACAGCTAAGTGTCTAAATTCTACAATTGGGAAAAGGCAAGGCATATTAAGGATATGACAATGAAGTTTCAGACCTCGAGTAGCATAACAAGAGTAAGCTGCAATTGGATGAAGTTAAAAAAAATACAAAATAGGTAAAGAAAAATTTTGCATAATGAACAACTGAAAACAGGATGACCTATGAATTAGCAAATATTAGACCAAAACTTCTAAATTTGCAATGCCTTGAGACAGTTTAAGTTCATAATATCTTAATTCATATTAATTTTTTAAATTGAAAGAGTCAAAAGCTTACAAATTTAGGCAATACATGTTTCCAAGTCATGAAAGCATATTGACCAGTGACCACCGATTTAGAGTTCAGGTGCAATCAAACTATCAAAGCGGAAGGTTTAAAACATGAAGGCACACTTCAGTTCCTATACTGAGCCATGTACGCTAAAATTTAACACTACCACCATGACGTAAGCTGCCCAACGATATCAATCCGAATCTTTAATTTTAAAAATAAATAAATCAGAAAAAGAAAGATGACAAATTTTACCCTATGTTCAAACAAATATAAAGATGACAAATTTTACCCATGTTCAGACTAATAACCAACAAATAGCATGACAAGGATCAGAATATTAAGAACTCAAAGGTAAGAAAACAAATTTGAAGTTTATAATCGAGTACCAAATGAGGAGCACTTGTTGACACCTTCAAGCGTAACAACAGCAGTGAGAATGAAGACAAAAGGCAATAAGAACGCTAAGATGAGGATGGTGTGAAAGAGGGTTCGATAAGAAATGTGGCGAGCTGCGACCTTGATCTTCATTAAGTCAATAAAGCCATTGCTGCTCGATATCGTGATACTTCTCATGCTAGGCGAGAAGTGAAGCTGCATCGTCGTGTATGCAGCCCCAGGTGGTTGCCGGGCACAACAACCCTAGGAGAGTCGCCGCAACTTACTATACCGACAATCAGCCATGGCCTTAAAATACAAACCATCAGATCCAAACCCACATGCACAAATCAACCACGGGCAATGCCTTTGTGATTGAAACCGAGATTGCAAGTATAATTTAGATCTATATATCTGGGTTCTGCTCAAATCTGTATTTTTCTGGGGTCTTTTGGAAGACCGCATTGGAGTAATGACGATTGGATTTCGATGGAATCAAACGCAAGATGCAAAAAGCAATCCAGTTTCTACGTTGTGACGATCCCCTGTCCCATGGATCAAGAGGGAATAGAGAAAAAAATCTGGGTTCTGTCTCTGATGGTTGTTTTTGTGTAGTACTCGTTCCGTTTGTGGAGAGCTTTGTGATTGGTCGGATCTACAATTTCATTTTCCGGAAAAATTATGAAAAATGAAAGATGACAGGCTTTAAGAGTCAAACTCAAAACCGTGTTGGATTTAGCCGAGAGAGAGAATGCAGAGAGGAGAGAGAAATAAAGCGGGCGTTTGTGTTTGACCATGAGATCAGGGAATAGGCCAATAGGGACATAACTTGGGAGCTAAGTTTAGAAGTCTCCTATGTTTATGGCCAATTCTTATTCTCAAGTGAATAGTATTCTAAGGAATTGATGGTTATATTTAGTTAGGCTCTTCTCTCTTATATGCTTTCTAGCACGAGGCAGAGTAACAAGTTGAAATAAAATGGAAAAACAGTGTCTAGATATATATGTGTCAATTAACATTGATATTAAGAGTCTGTTTGGTTACGTTACTTTTATCTTTTAAAAAGCATATTTTTACTTTGAAATGTTAAATATTGATTGAAAATTTTTTATTTAACAAAACTAACCTTTTGAATATACATTTAACAACCTATTAAAAGTAAATTTGAAAACTTGCAAGGAGGAAGCTTTTGAAACATAGCTTTTGAAATGTTAATGACATAACACATGTGGGATATAATGGGTGGTTCACGTGGCTTTTAAATTTATATGTAGAAAAGAAAAATAATTCTAAATGAAAAGGAGCTGCTTTGAATTACTAATTTTTTAAAGAATTTAATAAAAAATGTTTGTAAAAATTACTTTTGCATATATATAAAAATTAATTGGCAAAATTTTTGTGATGAATTTCGAATATAGTTATAAAATAATAAAAATAATAATCTTTTTCAATATATCTAACTTTATATTATTATTATTATTATTTAAGATATTAAATTTTATATTATTTAACATTTTTATCACATTTTTTAAATTATATTATATAACAAAAAAAATTATAAACTATCATAAATTAATATCATTTTTGGTAATTGTATATTCAAAAATATATTTTATCATCATAATCTAAATAATTTTTATTTTACCAAACTGACTTTTGAAAAAATGTATTCAAATATAAATTTTATTACAACAATTAAATTTTACTAAATTGACTTTTATCAAATAAATTTTTTATAAATTAACTTTTGATAAATTGAAAATCAAACACACGCTAAATATTTATTTATATTAAGTCAATTTATTTATAAATATTAAGCAGTGCAACTCATTTTTTTGAAAAGATATAAGCATACCATTTCTAAATAGTGTACTAGAAAAGGATAGCATGGTAAAATAAAAATGATGCACCATCCATTCCAAAAATAGCAATTTTATTTAATTTTCAATAAGAATATTGACTTCTTTCTTATTACAATGAAACTGTACATAAGACCGAGAAATATTAAATTTAATCGTTCATCCACTAAAAGATAGTACAAGGCATTTTGTCCTTATAAATTGAATTAGAATGATCAAGAATAGGAAAATCCCTCCTGCTAGAGGAGGATGTTCGAAATCCCTTTCTAAAAGTGTGTGACCTGAGTTTCAGCTTATCTTTTCTATTAGCTCAACAGGAGCCCAACTAGAAGGTTTTATTGATTGTTGACATTGAATTTTTTTTATTTTTTTAAAGATGGAAGGGTTAAAAAAAAACAAAAAACAAAAACAAAAGGGAAGGGTTTCTATTCTATTGGCATTGACTGCTTCATTCATTTTAGCTGAATTTGGAGCACACAGGTACCATTAAATACTGGTAGAAGGAAACCACTTGGCCACATCTAAAGCTAATAAAGGTGTATGGATTAAAATTTTCAAGATTGAATTTTTTCATAAACTGAAGTTTTATCTCAAAAAATAAACTAAAGTTTACAAATTGAAATTAGAATAAAAATCAGTTATTGTAACATTATTTATGTTTGAATATTTTTTAAAATTAATTTAACATGATTTATATTTAAATACTTTTTTAACATAATTTGCATTTTAATAAATATGCACAAAAGCTAAAAGCTCAAAGATTCAGTTTCTTACCTAACCTTTTGAGTCAAAAGTCATTATGCATTTTTTTTTTTCTAAATGAGAATAAAATAATTTAACCCCAGTTTTCAGATCCAAACTTCAGCTTAGGCCACCCAAATTGAGGCTTTGGTTTAACCTAAACACACCATAAGTGGTGTGTACGTGAGTGAGTAGTCGTGGAAACCATTTGATTTGCACTGAGCGCAGCCACCGGCTATAACATTAATTCATCATTTTCTATGGTCGTATGTGGCAGCAAACATTCAGGCTTTAAGCATTCCAGCCAGAAAGTCTCTAGCTGACTTTTTAGTTTCTCACACAAATCCAATCCTTAGCCTGTTTGTTTTCCACATGACAAGCTAGGGCTGGCTAATCATGTAACCAAGAAGAGCCTTTCCATAGAATTTTGTAATCGGGTGAATAGTTTATGGATGTTGGACATTAAAAGCTTGTTTAGTTTCTGTTTTTTTTTTTGTTTTCAAAATCTATTTTGGGATATAGTTTTTCAAAATAAAACAAAAAAAATCTATTTAGCTGTGTTAATTTAAAAATAATTTTAAAATTAAAAAATTCGACTGATAATAATAATCACTGACAGTTAATGACAGTAATTTATGATAATTATTGGTCAAGGTAATTGTAACTTTTAATAATTAAATATAATGCATTTTGAAATTAAGAAAAATAAAATGAAATCAACTTTAAAATGTTTCAATGTTTTTTTTTAAAAAAATATGAAAACAATTTTGAAAATAATTAGATTAAAAAACTTATCCAAACAAGTTTTTAAATTTTTTTATTTTTCAAAATAAAATACTGTTTTTAAAAATAGAAACCAAACAAGCACTCAAATTAATCTCAAATCCAAATGAAACCTCATTTGTATAGTCCAATTAAGTACTAGTTGCTACAACATTGCAAAATATGGTGAAGCCACAACTATGAGGTTGATCACTACTGCAGACCAACAGTTTGGATCACTGTGTATGAGGTTATACACGTGCATATACACATACACGCCCCTTCAGGCATGTCAAAGTTTTGAAGATCCACTAATACCATGGGGATTATCAAAGGTCCATCAAGCTCCTATGTTCATGGTTTGTGCAGAAGATTGTTGTGATTTCTAGCATTAAACATGAGTTAGTGTACTGATATGACCAAAATCTTCTTGCTAGTTTGTTTTTTTAATCTTTTCTACCATCCCAATTCGAATAAATTTATCAATGGTATGAATACAAGTTGGAAATTCATTTCAATCACCTTATCTATGTGTAAACCTGCTGCAACTTGAATCTTGTGAAGCGCAACTTTTAGGCCTCTTACGCACAATACACAGACCATTTGCACTCTATGAACCCATCACCACCAAAGGGTATATATGGTGAACAATCTCTATCGACAATTTTACTACAGTGAACCAATCACCAATGGTATAACCCCAAAAATAATGGCAACTATATTGGTTGCTCGTGTACAAGTGTTATCAAACACCATTCGGAGTGGGGAAATGTGAAAAGTAAAATAAAAATTATTTTTATTCGTTTCATGTTAACAGATGACACTTAGGGAGGCTCGCAGAAGCTTAGTTAATATACGAGCTGATGTCATTCCATGACAAGCAGCACTTGATCTTCTTATGCTGAGGAATGTGAAACTTCGGTTCTCTCGGTTTAGTTGGATGCTTCATTGACCTTGTAGGCAAAAACCAAGACATGAATTAGACAAATGGTTACAAGGTAAACGAAAAAAGAAGACAGGTTTAATTATTCTGCAAATGAGAAAAATACAAGGCCAGCATGAATAAGATGGAAGGATTAAGCCCAAACAAAGTCCAAGGATGCCTCTAAATATACCAGCAACCAAAAAAAAAAACGAAAAGATCATTGTTACCTCATGGGTATAAATGGTCTGTCAAAATAAGGCATAGGTTGTGCTTTTGGAATCAGTTCCTTTCTAAGCCTTCTGACTTCTTCCTCTTCCGCTAACTATATCACGGAGAAAAAGATGACAAAACTATGAGCATACTTGAAACTTCAAAGTAAAAGGAGGAAAGAAAATGATGAAGAAATCAGAAATTGAATCATTCAAGAAAATACAACCTTTTGTTGTCTCTCCCTTTCCATCTTGTATTGCTCGATTATACTCATCTTTTCTGCCACCTACATATCGTACAATCATCATGATTTTCAGGCTAAAATGATGTTTGAAAGTTGAAAAAGAAGGAGAAGGCTTAAAAAAGAAAAGATAAGGTTTAATCAGATGAAAGTGAAGGCACCTGGTGGTCAAAGACAGCTCGGTCAATAGCCCTCAAATCGCTATGAAGCTTCAGATCAATAGGCCTAGTACTTTCCTTCACTTGAGGCTTTACCAAGCACTAAAACAAATTGAAAGCAACCTCATCAGCGACGCTTGAATCCAATCAAGCTTTATACTAAAACTCACAAAGTAACAAACGTTGACTTATACCTCTGGTTCATCTGTTGTCCAAGGAAGGCCTTGTGCAATAGGTATCCTTTGCTTTTCTTCTTCGGTCATCATCTCTTGCACCTTCTTCATAAAATCTTCCTCTTTCAACTTTCCCCTTTGCTGCAGTAATAGCGTTCCGTTATTAACAATCCAAAGTCAAGAAAAAAATTGTTTAGACAACGCAATCCTATTGGGAAAAAAAAAAGCAGATACAACAATTTTTAGAAGTCCCACGATGGATCACCAAAAAAGAAGCGCTGGGACATTCACCCGAATAAAAAAAAAAAGGAAAAAGGACACTATCATGATTGTAAATACAGGGGGAAAAAAAAAAGAGTGAGAAGCTAGAGAGATCCCGTCTTAACTAAATATTACTTTGTTGTGCCTAAATTATTTGAACAGCATAATTTCATATTTATAATTATAATGTTTTAAAATATAAAAGCGAAAGATTATTGGAATATAGTAATGCTCGTATTGTATTTGTTGGTAGAAAATCTCTCATGTATTTTTATAGTTTTAGAAATGTAAAGTGCCATATGCCCCCTCAATGATTCATTTATTCTATTCCACAAATTACCTCTGTTCTTAGCTTGAATGGTTTTTGGCTTGTGACTCTTAGCTGCTTCTTTTTCCACCTTCTTCTTCCTAAAGTGTTGGATGATGATTCCAAACTCTGAAATTCATTCATCAATGTTTCAAAACAAATCAGTGGGATAGGATTGTTAACCAATCTGTGTCTATTGCTCACATGAAGTGACTAAAATCTTACATTTCTGCGGCTCCTTCGACCTCCAGAAGAAGTTCTGCTCGATATACTGCAGATTGAGAATAGATAATAACAAGCATTAACACAAAAATGTTTAGCAGTATACTTGATACTTCAAAAACAAAATGATATCATTATTAAATACTACATATAAGATTGTATTTAAATATTAAATGTTTAGTTGAATCGCAGTCTTTATATAGTTGGCAGCTTTTTTCCCCCTGGCTGTACACATGCTTTGTAGGTTAATACTAAAAGAATGCACAAAACTTTTTCACTAACCTTCCACGGCTACTATCCCAGGAAGAAGAAGCCGAAATTTGGGGACCCAAGCCAAGATTCTCGGACGTCAAAATCAACTGAGATGGGCAGAATGAAGAAGAATCCTCAATTTCACTGGGAGGTTGTAATCCAGGCAATGCCCATTTCATCGCCTTCTTAGTTTCCTCTGGTTGCTTCTCTTCCTCCTCCTGATCTGAGCCTTTCGACATAGGTATAGACCGAATCTTCTCGAACGCCTTCACCAAATGCATTACTCTTCCAGATCCACTCTCAGGAACACTGTTCCTTGCATCTTCCAGCAACTTGTCCCTCCTCCGTTTCACTGTCGAACTTCCAATTTGATTTGGCGACTGTGTCTCGTCGCCGTCAGCTTTTTCCCATTGACAAGCCTCTGTTTTCCCTTCATACTCATCATCTTCAATTCGAAGGTCTTGGATCATCAAACTCATTTCTATTACCTTGTCAAGTTCACTCTCTGCCCTATCATCGGTCCGATCCTGATCTCCAGGATTCTTAAAGAATTCTTCCTGTGACGCCCTGAGATTCTCGTATGCCACACAAAGACACTTCTTAGAATTCCCTTCGGATTTAACTTTGCACTTGCACGTAACCATGGAACTTTCATCCTCTTTCTTCGGATTCTTCTTCGCGACCACGAACTTCCTCTGCCGAATCTTGTGCTGCGGCGAATAGATTATTGGACTAGGGTTTTTCGATGCTGATTTGTGAGACTTAGCCGATTTTAAAACTGGAGATTTTGAGATATTCGGATTGGTATTCTCAGAAGAATCTTGATTCTTTGACCGAGAGCCATGAGATGCTTTCACTGGAGTGATGCTCCTGCTTGCCAACTCCATTGGAAATCCACTGGATAGCGCGAAAAGGCTCTTTGGTAAGGGGAAGAACAGGGAGAGAGAAGGAGAGATTTCTCTTTGTTTCGATGGAAAACTGAACAAGGGATCGAGTAAAAGGGGAAGTGGAAAATGGGAACGTTAAGCAGTGAGTGTGAGACGCTCTCTGTAACGGCTAGTATTCGTGGGTCAGGTCGGAGAAAGCATAGGCTTGTTATTCATTTGAACAGCTATTTGGATCGTGGGCCGTTGGATTAGCTGCCTGGAGCCTGACGACGTCGATGGGGCTAAACAAGCAAATATTAAAATTCAAAGAAGTTAATTGAAAAAATAATTTAAAACAAAACATTTTAAGTTAATTCAATTCCCACTTATCACTTCTTTATTTTCATTTGTCTGGGCCTAATCCAATTTCCATCCTACTGCCCTCTCTTTCATCTTCAAACCAGTGTTTTGGGTTATGAAAAAAAATGGCGTGTTCATTATATTTATTTATATAAAAAACCAGGTGAAATAAACAAATTTTTAATTCCAAAAGCTAATCTAAAATTCCATTATAGATTCAAAAGTTTGTTTTATTTTATATTTTACATAAGTTCTATATGGTTAAAGAGGCACTTGAGTTTTGCTGTGTTTCCTAGGCCTTATTAGTTTAATTTTATTAAAAGTCCAAGCCTAGATTAGTTTGTCTTGTTTTAAAATCAGGACAACTTGCCTTTACCTTTTCCATCCAAAATCAAGTTAAGAGTCTATTTGGTTTTTGTTCGCATTTTTTATTTTTAAAAATTATTGTATAATATAAATTTTAAAATTATTTTTAAAACAAAGCAAAAAAAATGTAATAATCTTAAAAATAAAATATATATATATATATAATAGTAGTAGTAATTAAAAAAAATCTGTGGTTAGTATTTTGTAATTTTATCAAATAAGTTTGGTCTTTTCCTGTAATTTTTTCCATTATCTTTTATTTAAGTCTTCTTCTTCCTTGTTGGTAAACAGAAACATAAAAGAGTGAATAAAAATAGAGTAGAGCAGACGAGTGCGAGAGAGAAAGAGAATTCTCTAAGCTTCCACCGACCTTTGCTCTTCGTTCTTCTTCCTCCATTGTTCATCTCCATCGGGTCCTTTGTTTCTTTGGCTCTTCCTTTCTTTTTCTTCTCCACTTGCTAGTATGTTACAGCACCAAAAAAAAAATAAAAACGAAAAAAAACCACACACTGTTGCTGAAAACTTGAGGGAACCGTGATCTCCTCCCTCCCTTCTTTCCGTGCATGAACGTGAGTAGTGGATTTGTCATTATTGGAGGTTTGCTTGATGATTTCTTTCTCTTATTCTCTATGCTGTTAATGTCTTCTTCTATTCTCTATTCTACCATGCTAAATTAGCTAATTGAATTTTTCACTCTCATCTCTGTGCTGCTGGTATATATACTAAATAGTGATATTTCTCTTGCTTTAGATGTTAAGTTTTAAACTCTTTTCTTGTCCTTTTGATTTAGAGCTGTACAATTAAGGGATAGTTGTTTCTTTAGTTAATATTAAAATTGAAGTCTTGAATTTTGTTGCTGAACAAGGAAATTATGATATGGGTGTGCATTATAATAATTATGTTAATACAATGGCAAAGGATGATTTAAAACATAATTAGGATTATATAATATAACAATACCATTAGTTTGGCTAAGAATAAAAATGGAGAAATTAGGAGGCATAAAAGTGGACATATGAAAAATTGATTCAAATTGTAGAAAGAGATATTAAAGTTTTATTATATCTAATAGGGGTTTTAGAAGAGGAGAAGCTAAATTGAAGTTGAGAAAAGAGAATTTTTAGAACTTGGCAGCATACCAGGTAAATAAATAACGTTCCTTAATATATAAAAGCAATGATCTTTCTTTTACCTTATTTAATTACCTTAATTGTTTTGAATTGATTTTTATTTTATTTTATTTGTATCTTAAGATTTAGTTCATTCATATGTAATTAGTTTGATTATGACTCAACTTTAATCATGTAAATATTTTCATAGTATTTCATTTTTAAAATGTATATATATATATATATATATATTTATGTGTGTGTGTGTGTGTGTATATATCATACATGCATGGATCAGATAAATTACTATCAACAGATTGTTTATATCTTCCAAATTAAAGAACAATTTAAATTACAAGAGTTTATAGATTCCATGCATGCCAGAAATGTTTTATGGGACTGAATACAGAACACTGTTTGATAACGACAGTATCATTAGCCATTGGCACGCCACGGCATACCTAGCTAGCATGTACATTGGAGGTGCTAACCCCGTGTGTCAGCCAACACACGTGGAACGAAGGGTGTAATTTTATGGACATAATCCACGCCTGTTTTTTTTTCTTGACTTCTAGCCACGTCAGATGTTACTTACCTTCATGGATTATGTGTCCACACCTATTATTTATTCTGTTGAGGTCCTAACAGAAAATAAGTTTTCCAAAGTCATATTCTTACTTTTAAGAATTGTATTTTGTGATTTATTTTATATAGAAAGTCATATTTCTAAATGGTTGTTCACGATTCTTTATTTTCCCTTTCTATTTTATTCACTCAATTATTAAGATTAAATTATATTATTATTTTCTAATACCTTTTGTAATTAGATTAGTCTTTTGTTTCCTATTATACATTTATAATTATCATTTTTGTTTAATATTATTATTATTTGGGAACGTTATTTACTGAAAGAATTTTTAGGTATTCAGATAGTAGAAGTGAACTGCTCTTCATTTGATCTCGTGGGACCCCTTGAAACAAGAAGTATTTTGTTGCTCCGTCCAATTATGGATTAATGTAAATATTTAAGTATTCTAGTTTTGTTCTAGATTCACTCCATGAATCTTATAGGTAGGATCCTTAATTGAATTATTTTGGGATTGTACATATATACTGTATTGGAGTAGAACTTTGAATGCTGTATGAGTATTCTTTTGGTAGGTTGTAAAGATTTCGGGTAGTCCAACTTACAGGAGAAACTCTGCCAAAATTTTTACAAGAAGTTAAATATTTTGTTAATATTAGTAGTTATTTAATACAAACGACGATTATACAATGAGTTTGGGTAATTAATATGTTAGACAATATATGGGTTTAGGCTTATGAAATATGAGTTTCTTGTATTCCAACTAGTTACACTTTAAAAATTCAGGGTGTGACAAAAAATCTATTTGATTATATTAATTTAAAAACACTTTTAAAATTAAAAAAGTTGGTCAATAGTGATAGTTACTAGCTGTTAATAGTAATGGCTTATGTTAATTATTAGTCAAAATAACTGTAATTTTCAATAATTAAATGTAATATGTTTTAAAAATAAAAAAATACAATGAAAATAGTTTTAAAATGTTTCATTTTTTTAAAATAAAAAAAGAAAAATTATGGAAACAATTGAATTCAAAAACACTTATTCAAGTAAGTTTTTATTTTTTTTTCAAAATGTTTTTTAAAATAGGAACCCAATAGGCTCTAATTAATCGAATTTTAATTAGAATTTAGGGAGTCTCTTTGAAAACATATGATAGAATCTATAGAGTTTCATTTATAGAATAATGTAAACTATATTGAAACATACTCAAAAGTGGAAAGTAAAAATAGCATGGAAAAGAATTACATAGAAATAGTCTGAAATTGTTAAAATGATTTACAGATTTGGAGATAGAATTCTTCTAAGAAACACCAAGGTGAATATGAATGAAATTCATGAAAGCAATTAGAGATTGGGAAAAAAAAAAAACACAGAGAGCTGTGATATGAATATTACTTCCTCTGATTCTATTTATAAGGTAGAGAAAATTTTTTTTTAAATTCTATTTATAAGTCACGTTATTAAATTTTTATAATAAATTTGTTTTCTTACCTTTCATTGAATATTTAAAAGAAAAAATATATTATTGAAGTATGTATATTTAATAGAAATAAAGTTGATAACTTAGTAAATTTTAAGACAGAATTAATGAGTTTTAATATTTTTTTAATACTGATAAAATATGTTAAAAGTGACTTATAAAAAGAGTAAAAAAAAAAAAAGCAAAAGCAACCACTATTAACCCAACTAAAAGCAAAAGGCGATAAGACAAAAATTATAATTGTACTAATTACAAGTACTGCCTTGGGTAGAAGTTAACTTTACCTCACAAAGTTCCCTTAAAATTAATTCGATCACGTTTCTAGTATCTCAAGTTGACTGTTGGCAGGAAATCAATAACCTGAACAAAAGATAAACATGATAAATATGTTGAGTGATGTTCTTGCTTCAAGAGATTAAAACTTCTCAATATAGTCCTTCATACAAGGAAAGGAATTTTTCGAGCGTGCAAAAGCAATAATCTAGACACCTCAAGCTAAGAGGTTGGTCTCACAATTCAAAAACAAATTTCAGTCAATAAATGAAATTCATGTCATTGAAATGACAAAAAATAAAGAAAGCAACATGTAAAATGGCAAAACATCCAAATCAGAAACAAAAGGGGCAAAGCAGCACTTTTTTTTGGGGGGGGGGGTGAGTAGCAAAAGTATATCATCATTTTATTGTCACGGAAACGCACAAGAGTGAGAAAAAGGAAAAACACTGATCCCCAAAAATACATTATGTTTGTAAATCAAAAAATAAATGAAATATTATTGTTTATTGAAGGGCCAAACCGGGTGGTGACCACTTTGATCTGCAGTCAAATGCTCTACCACTGACCTATAGACTCATATCAAAGAAAAGATACATTAATATTTATTTAACAAAAATTTGTAGAAAATAGCACAACTTAAACTCTCCAGTTCCTACGCGAGTTTAATAATATCTTAACCTCAAGTCTCCGTTGTAGTCGTTGATAATCTCGTAGCATAGTTGTCAATGGCTCAACAATTAACGTATACATGCCCACAGTAACCGGACAATAATTGCATGCGCTCATTGGAAATATATGCCGATACACCAACGCTGCAAATCATACAGTTTTCCTCATTACATCCACATTTGGTTTCATAAGAAAGTTAGACGAGATATCATTGCCGTATAGTCATAGAAGGAGGCATATGAGAATGATAAAAGGGAGGCATCGACTTCACAGGACCTATTCTACAGTTGCAAGGACGGTTTCAGAAATTCCACCTTCATCCACCACCAAGAGTCTACAAAAGGGCAATCAATACGTTCAGCTCATTCGTGCATGCAAAGACTTGAAGCTTCTGTTTCAAATCCATGGTTGTTTGATCGTGTCAGGCCTCCAACACGATCATTCCATTATTGCCCATATAATTAATGCTTACCCTTTATTTCGTCAATGTGGTTTGGCTCGAATAACATTTGATTATGCGGCAAACCCAACTACGATTCTGTGGAATTCAATTATTAGAGCTTATTCTAAGTCCAACCAATTCCAAGAAGCAATAAAAATGTATCATAACATGTTAGAAAGGGGTCTCGAACCAGACAAATATACATTTACCTTTGTTTTGAGAGCTTGTACTGGTGCTCTAGACTTCCACGAGGGTGTTGCAGTTCACCAGGAAATAGCTTCTAAGCAGTTAGAATGTGATGTCTTCATTGGGACCGGTCTGGTTGATATGTACTGTAAATTGGGTGACTTGGATAGTGCAAGAAAGATATTTGATAAAATGCCCAAGAAGGATATTACATCTTGGAATGCAATGATTGCAGGCTTATCGCAGAGCTCAAATCTTTGTCAAGCACTGGAAATATTCCGGAGTATGCAAATGGAGGGGTTGGAGCCCGACTCAGTAAGCCTCTTGAACCTGGCCCCTGCTGTTTCTAAACTAGCGGATGTCGATGCTTGCAAGTCTATTCATGCTTATGTGATTAGGAGATCTATGTTTGGTTCTGTTTCTAACTCATTGATTGATATGTACTCTAAATGTGGTGAAGTGAATGTTTCTCGTCGGATTTTTGATCAGATGCAGGTTCAGGATGATGTTTCATGGGCAACAATGATGGCTGGATATGTGTACAACGGTTATTTCCTTGAGGTTCTTCAATTGCTAGATAAAATGAACCAAAAAAATACTAAGATGAATAAAGTGGCAATTGTTAGTGCTCTCTTGGCAGCTGCAGAGATGAGAGACATAGAAAAAGGAAAGGAGGTCCATGACTATGCTTTACACCAAGGGGTCATTTCAGATATCACTGTTGCTACTCCTATTGTGAGCATGTATGCAAAATGCGGAGAGTTGAAGAAAGCTAAAACAGTGTTTCTGAGTCTACGTGGAAGAGATTTAGTTGCTTGGTCTTCTTTTTTATCAGCTGTTGTCCAAGCGGGGTACCCCACTGAAGCATTGCGTATATTTCAAGCGATGCAGCATGAAGGATTCAAACCAGATCATGTGACTCTGACAAGTGTTATTTCTGCGTGTGCGGAAATATCATATCTCAGATTTGGTAAGAGCTTACACTCTTTTGCTGTTAAAGCTGATATGGATTCCGATATCTCAACAGTGACAACCCTTATCTCAATGTACGCTAGATGTGAATCATTTACTTATGCCATGACTTTATTCTACAAAATGGATTATAAAGATGTAGTGACATGGAATACTATAATTAATGGATTTACCAGACATGGTGACCCATGTGATGCACTGCAAATGTTCCGTAGATTACAGTTAAGTGGGACTCAACCAAATGGGGGAACAATAGTAGGTTTGGTTTCAGCTTGCACTCTCATAGTTGACCAAGATCTAGGCAAATGTTTCCACGGGATAACCGAAAAGAGTGGATTTGACTCTGACACTCATGTTAAAGTTGCTCTAATGGACATGTATGCCAAATGTGGCAGCATTTGCTCAGCTGAGACCTTGTTTTACTCAACCAAGCCTCTGCAGGATGTGGTATCTTGGAATGTGATGATTGCAGGCTACCTGCATAATAGATGTGTCAATGAAGCAATTTCCACTTTCAATCACATGAAGTTAGAAAATGTCAAAACCAGTTTGGTCACTTTTGTCACCATCCTTCCAGCTGTGTCATCTTTTTCAATGTTAAGAGAAGGCATGGCTATTCATGCCTGCATAATCCGAATGGGATTTATGTCCAATATTCTTGCCGGTAATAGTCTAATTGATATGTATGCTAAATGTGGGCAGCTCATTTATTCTGAGAAGTGTTTTCACGAGATGGAAAACAAAGACATTGTTTCATGGAATTCAATGCTTTCAGGTTATGCAATGCATGGGCAAGCTGACAGTGCTATTGCTCTTTTTTCACTCATGAAAGAGACATGCGTCCAAGTTGACTCTGTTTCCTTCATCAGTGTATTATCTGCATGCAGACATGCTGGATTAATTCAAGAAGCAATGGACATTTTCCAAACCATGTGTGAGAAGCACCATCTTGAACCAAATATGGAACACTATGCTTGCATGGTTGATCTTTTGGGCCGAGCTGGTTTATTTGATGAAGTATTGAGTTTAATTAAAAAAATGCCAACAGAACCTAATGCAGAAGTGTGGGGTGCTCTTCTGGGAGCATGTAAAATGCATTCCAATGTGACATTGGGAGAGGTTGCTCTCAGGCGCCTCCTTAGTCTTGAACCCAGAAACCCAGTTCATTTTGTAGTTTTGTCAGATATATATGCTCAATGCGGTAGGTGGACTGACGCAAGAATGACAAGGTCAAATATGATTGACTATGGGCTACAGAAAAGTCCAGGATGTAGTTGGTTTGAACTGCATAAACTAGGTCCTTTCCTTTCTGACAAGTAAGGAGAACCACCCACAGTTTGAAGGACTGAGTGAGCATGCAGACATCACAGAACAGCTTAATTAGAAATGGAGAAAATAGTCACGTGCTGGAGTTATTTTGTGCTGTGTAAGATGCCGATGAAGAAGACAAGGAACCTTTTCTTTAGAATCAAAGGAAAAGTTTTGCAATATATTTTGCTCAATAAGGCCCGTTCAAAGGAAATAAAGAGGATAACAATGCTGCTTGAACCAGAAAGTTCCACTCTTTTTGCAAAATGATGTTGTTTCATGATTGACACGGTTGAGTTCCTCGGAAGATAAAGGGCTTTGAAGACCATTTTGCAGATAACTTGATTCTGGTTTTGAACACTTGTTCCCTTAGAATCTAATTGATCAGATCTATCTCTCTTTGATTTGTTATTGAAATTAATTAAGCTTTTGTTTTGAATTTGTGCTTTAATATATTTGCGTAGTAGCAGTTTGCTCATTTTTTTTTGATTTTCAGGGAAGTCAATCACCAATGGCAGTTGAAGGAAATGAATACCAAGAAACCAGAGGCTGAATATTGGTCCGTTGTTGAAATTGTAGAATATAAATGTCTTGTGAGTCTTCTCCTTGAACTTTTAACGATGAGATTTATTTTGATTTATGCTTCTTCAAGTTTTTAGTTATACAGATTCATATTTATTTAGAAATTGAAACTATTTTCATTCGAGTTTGAGTGACAAAGCTAAAACAGCACTCTGACATTTAAATTTTTATTGGAACTGACCAAATTAGACCCATTGAAGACAAAATAAACTTAAAAAAGAAGTAACATGAATCCTTTTATTCATCTTTAAATTGATTAGTTAATTGTTGCTTGGCAAATAAAAATTTAGATGTGTTGGATTTCAAAAACTTGTTAAAGCTAGGACAAGCCTCATATTTCAAAAAGTATTTATAAAGATACTTGTAAATTAAAACATTGTCTCTAACCCAATTTAGGCTGAGAGATAAGAGAAAATGTTTACCAACGAGATACTTAAAAACAAGTAAGAAAGAGGATTGAATAAAAGAACTCCCTACAATTGGCAGTTTTAGATGAGTTGATATCAACGGTAAGTCATTATTTTGATGAATTGTGTCTTCGGAGAGAAGAAGATCATGTGAATTTGATAGAGCCCCTCACTGTTTTACTAAGACATATCAAAGGAAGTCAAAGGGGAAGAATGACTCTAGTAGAATCATGACGATTGGTCCAGAGGCTTATCCTTCAGTCTCTAGCCGTAAGGAACAGTAGCATGTGATCTTTTGCCATAAGATCTTTTGGGAGGTATGGGCTAAGGGGAAAGCCATGCTGTCCATGCTGTGTGTTATATTTTATCTTTTTGCTTGTATTAAGGGGGTATCTTTTGTAAGAGAATGGAGAGGAGAGACTGGCCTCTTGAATGCCAGAAGGAGTGAACCCTCTTGTGAGGTTTGAGTTTGTAATATTGTTACTTTTGTGATCATTCAAGGGAGATAGGGTTTTGGCCAGAATCAGAGGAAGACTTGTAACTCTGATTCGCTTTCTCTTAATTTATTAATATCAAAACTTCAGCATTTTCTCCTCATTTATTATTATTACTGTCTTTATTGCTGTTTCTGTGGAGATATTGGTTTGGGTCTTATTAGAATTCTTACTAGATTTTGTTGTGGAAAACCCATTTTTTGAAGAATAAGCTTACAGTAAAATCATCAAAACAGAATTTCTCCCTTTTGGCAGGGTAGCAGAAAGAGTTTTACTTGCTGGTAACCAACCAACAGAGATGTGACTTGTTTCTGTTTCTAATTTTCAACGCGCAATACATACAATATTAACTTTTGTGCTTTAAGGCCTCCAGGATTGAGCCCTGAGCTTTGAAGCAAATTGAAAAAGCCACTTACAGACACTTTTATGCTTATTCATTCTAACGTTTGCATCCATTGTCTTACTGCAGTTTCCGGTGTAAAGTTAGCCAATGGCTATTCTTCAAATACCGTCATTACTTCTCCAAGAAAACAAGTTATCTCCACGCAACTTTGTTTCTTAAGGCTTTTGCTCAATGTGGAATATTTCTCACTGTTGGCTCCCGGAAGCCTTGTCTTGGTTCTAATGTGACTGATCATCATCTTAACAAGCTTTTCGCCTCATCAACTCGTAAATCAGATATGAGTTTCTCTTTAGCTGGATTCCTGTTTTTTCTCAGCTTGTGAGAGACATTAGCAACTATTTCCTTTTTCAGGTATTTGGGAATTTGTGGTCATTGCCTGATCGGTGTCTTAGTCACTTCTAAATTTCAATAACTTATTAATGGGCTATTTGTTTGGTATTTGCTGTTATTAATTCATTATGATAAGGCAATTGCTCAGAGCAATAACAATACAGAAAATTCGGGTGGATAGATCCAAAGTCCTAACCAGGGAGATAACGCATGGCTTCTTATTATTTTTTTGGTTCGCTGCTGACCTCAGGGACTTCTCGTCTGATCGTCTCTCTTGTATCAGTCATTATTTTGATTCCATCATGCAGTTCTTTTTTTTTTAATCAGTTTAGGTTAAAACTTAAAACAACCCCCAAAAAATTATAGGGGGAAAAAAGGAAAAGGAACCTGACACAAACGATCAGGGAAATAGTGCAGCTCAATACCACTAACTTTTTTTTTTTTAACCAAAACAAATTTACTATTAACGTTTAAGAAGTTATGTTAATTGTGGATGGAAATAGTGCAAGCATTGCCATCAAACTAAAAGTGGTCCTGTATATTACATAAAATTTGAAAATTGATATATATTGCAACTTATATAAATTTATGTTATTTATATTGAGATATTGATTTAGAATTTAGTAAAGTCAAGAATAATAGCCAGGCTTTTTAGATTACTTGCTTAATCATTTTATTGGATTTTAAAAATTGAAGTTTTTTAATATAAAAGATTTTTTGAATCTAGCTTATATAAGCTTGAAAAAACAAGTTTTGTTTTGAAATAGAAATTTTTAATCTTTCAAATTTGCCCCATTTTTAATTTGGTTTATTAAGTTTAATTTTTATTAATTTAATCTCTTAAATTTATTTCAATTATCAATTTAATTTTTATTGTTTAAAGAAATAAAATTGTAAAATCTAATGTCATGGATAATGAAAAAAGAAATGTAATTATTTAAGTTAAAAAAATAAACTCAGAAACTTTAAAGAATATTTGATAAAAAAAGAAACTTTAAAAAATAAAAAACAAAGTAAAGAATTTAATTAATAAAAATTAAAATTTTTTATGGTTAAGTTGTTCTTATTTTAATTTTAACTACATAAATATGTCAAGTCATCAATATATTTTTTAAGAGATTAAAAAATATTTATATCTTTGAATTAAAATATTCTAGAGTATGTGTTTATTCTCTTTAATCTTATATATAAGGGTAGGGAAAAATTTTTTTTTATCTTATTTATAAGTTATATTATTAAATTTTTATTATAAATTTTTTTTACTTCTCATTAAATAGTGAAGAGAAAAAAAAATATTATTAAAGTATTTATAAATAAAGGTAAAATTGAAAACTTTTAAAATTTTTAAATAAAATTAATAATTTTCAAAATTTTTCTTTATTTCAATAAAATGTATTAAAAATAATTTATAAATAACATGGGAGGGAGTGTCCTGTAAATCTGGTGCCAGGGTAGTTGTTTGTTTAACTGTTTAAGCCATCTTATTATTTGCCCAAAAATATTGTCCCCGAACAGTCTGCATCCACCGAGAGCCGAGAGAGGAAGACGCCTATCAAAGCTGAGCTGCGAAGAGTCCATTTTGATCGTCTCTCTCGGTGTCTGACCTCTTTTCCTGCCGCCCACTACGATATGCTATTCCTAATATTTCAGTTGTAGTTCTTGGAAAATATTTTCAAATCTTGTAAACACATTGGGAGAAATCGATCGAACAAACTTGATAACCGAAGAACTATTAAGTGTAAGCTCCAATTGAGCTGATTGATTTAAGAATTTGGAGTTTCCACTTGAGACCAGAAACTCTACTGACATGAGGGTAAACTTTGTCAACAAATAACAAAAGATGATGGGCGCGGCTGTATGGCTTGTAAACTCATTTGCTCGTCTTGCTTCACCTCCAAAATCCAGAAGTTTACAGCTTTTCCGATTCCCGCGTCCTTGGTCTTCAATTTGTTTAAGTATTATACTTGTTCATCGCCTCTTGGCCTTGATAATTGCGTTGAGGTCGATGACCTCTCCCAGTTGTACTACTCAAACTCGTTCCTCGCATCCATTATTGATAATTCTATCCACAAGGGACACCTGAATCAAGTCCACGGCCAGTTGGTTGTCTCTGGATTGCAACATAATGGGTTTCTCATGACCAAACTGGTTAATAGAAGCTCAAATATTGGACAAATTGGTTATGCATGTAAGCTGTTCGATAAATTTTGTAACCCTAATGTGTTTATGTGGAATGCTATTATTAGGGCTTATTCGAAGCACAAAATGTTTCAGGATGCCATAGTAATGTATAGATGGATGAGGTGGACGAGAGTAGATCCGGATTGTTATACTTTTCCTTATGTGCTAAAGGCTTGTACTGAATTGTCAGATTTTGGTTTGAGTAGGCTAATTCATGGTCAGATTTTCAGGCATGGGCTTGGGTTGGACGGTTTTGTGCAGAATGGCCTTGTAGCATTGTATGCCAAATGTGGTCACATTGATCGTGCAAGAGTGGTTTTTGATGGATTACATGATAGAACCATTGTTTCATGGACTTCCATTATTTCTGGGTATGCACAGAATGGGAAAGCTATGGAAGCATTGAGAATGTTCGATAAGTTGAGAAAAACTGGTCTGAGACCAGATTGGATTGCTCTGGTAAGCATTCTAAGGGCTTACTCTGATGTAGAAGACTTGGAGCAAGGAAAATCTATGCATGGTTGTGTCATCAAAATGGGTCTTCAGGATGAGCCTGATTTGCTTATCTCACTGACTGCTCTGTATGCAAAATGTGGGCAGGTGACAGTTGCAAGATATTTTTTTAATCAAATGGAGATGATACCGAATGTGATCATTTGGAATGCAATGATTTCAGGCTATGCAAAGAATGGTCATGGTGAGGAAGCATTACAGCTATTTCGTGATCTTATTGCAAGAAGTATTAAACCAGACTCTGTCACTGTGATGTCTACAGTCTTAGCTTGTGCTCAAGTCGGTTCCCTTGAATTGGCACAATGGATGGATGACTACGTCAGCAAGAGTGAACATAGAAGTGATGTTTTTGTTAACACAGCCCTCATTGATATGTATGCAAAATGTGGAAGTGTAGAATCTGCTCGTGGGGTATTTGATCGCATTTCTGATAAGGATGTTGTAGTATGGAGTGCCATGATCGTAGGATATGGATTACATGGTCGTGCTCAGGAGGCCATTGATCTTTGCCATGCAATGAAGCAAGCAGGCGTGTACCCAAATGATGTTACCTTCATTGGGCTTCTCACAGCATGCAATCATTCTGGCCTAGTAAAAGAGGGGTGGGAACTGTTCCATTGCATGAGAGACTATGGAATTGAGCCCCGCCATGAGCATTATGCTTGTGTAGTTGATCTCCTCGGACGTGCAGGTTATGTAGATCGAGCTTGTAATTTTATCTTGAAAATGCCTGTTGATCCTGGTGTAAGTGTGTGGGGTGCACTTCTTAGTGCTTGCAAGATCCATCGCCATGTGACCTTAGGAGAATATGCTGCAGAGAAACTATTCTCATTGGATCCATGCAATATAGGACACTATGTGCAACTCTCAAATCTCTATGCTTCCGCCCGGCTGTGGGATCATGTTGCAAATGTTCGTGTGCTAATGAGGGAAAAAGGTTTGAGCAAGGACCTAGGTTACAGTTTTATTGAAATCAATGGAAAGCTAGAAGTGTTTAGTGTAGGGGACAAATCGCATCCAAGAGCTGAGGAAATTTTTAATGAGCTTCAGAAGTTGGAGAGAAGACTGAAGGAAGTTGGATTCGTCCCACATACAGAATCAGTTTTGCATGATTTGAATTATGAAGAGAAGGAAGAGAATCTCTGTTATCATAGTGAGAGAATAGCAATAGCATACGGGCTCATTAGTACTGCTCCTGGAACTACACTTAGAATAACAAAGAACCTTCGAGCGTGTGTGAACTGTCATTCAGCGACAAAGCTTATATCAAAACTTGTCAACAGGGAGATAATTGTTAGGGATGCAAAGCGGTTTCATCATTTTAAGAATGGAACCTGTTCATGTGGAGACTATTGGTGAATGGCTTGATCTAGACCTATTTCCACATAGGTAGCTCAGGCTGATACTGTTCCTCACTCCATTCCATGCATTTGGTTGCACTGAAAATATAGGACCCCGAAAATTCATATTCTTGCAATGTCACCGTCCTTTGTGTTTACCTGAAAAATGATGTATCTTGGTTCTGTTTATGACAGGTTCCAAAGTGATTGAGAAAATGGACCTCAGGTTCCAGTTAATGTCATTTTTTGGTCTTCATTTCCCTTGATATTAACCTTGAATTGACTCTAATGGAGTTTGTTAGATCAAACCCAAACCTGTGAAGAGCACTATATGATTAAAGAAAAAGCTTAGATGTCATTTTGGTTGAGTAGCTGCTGTGGCCTCGGTGCTTGATAGATTAAACGATGTGTCTCATGTACCAGGTGAAACGAGAGAGAGAGAGAGAGATCGGTTGTGCTATTGACTTTATCATTAAAACTATCTCAGATGCTTTTGTTTTGGAATCTCTTTTACAAATTGCTCACCACACTTATATCTGGCCTGCATGCCGTTCATTATTGTTCACTTTAGTTTATTACTTGTTTTTGAGTGAATTATTTAGACGACTTTAGATTTTTTTTTTTTGTGCTACATATCATACGGTTCTGCTCTGGCATTACCATGATGAAGTCATTGCATCAAGTCATTTTTGATTTTGAACATGGGAATCTACAGGTACTCGCTGAAATAAACATACATCTCTCCTTCATGTCAACTTAATAAACTATTATCAAATAAATCAATTTATAAGAATTGTTGTGTGCATCTAGCTGGGAATATAAATTACGAAGATTTTACACGAGACTAAAATTTTGGTATGGTGGTAGATCTTAGTTGCTTTTCAGATTCTGATTTCATTTATGTGAATTTTGATGAGAATATACATACTCCTTCCGTTCGAAAATGTAAGATATTTTTTGAGAGTTGGATGTTAAAAAATATAAAGTATTTGTAATAATTGTTTTTTTTAAAAAAAATGTTCCTATTGATAGTGACTTTATATTTATTAGAGGGTGTTTAATATGGGTAAATATGAAAAGATAGGATTAATTTGAAAGTAGGTAACTACTTTATTGGGGGTGAAATTCGGTTAAAAATGCCTTATATTTTTTAACAAAGGAAGTATATAAGATGCATTTTGACATATTAACTTGGGTTCAATTTCTCTTAAGATTGTTTGAGGAGTAAAAGTTTGAATGTTTTAAATTGATGAGATGGTATAGTTTTAAGATTGTTGGGGTTTATTAAAGTCCCAATTGTTTGAAGATAATTTTTACTTTTTAGATTGTTTATTAGTTAGTAGATTTGAATCCAATAAAAATAGGTGAAGAAAAATAAGAATGAAAAATATTGCATTGACTCGCATAATGTAGTAATCTATTTATGTATATATATTTTTTTGACGGATTGTTATGATTGTCATTTTCTTTAATTTTATTTGGAAACCCAAACATTAAACTAAAAAATATATTTAATTTCTTAATGTCATGTTTCTTCTAAACAAGCAAACTCTTAATATTATATCAGTTTTTCCCGCTGATCACTAATCAATCACTACATGACTAAAAATACATATCATTCATTACATGACACGAGATGCAATGATTTTTTTTTTTAATGAAAAACTGGATAACTATTATAAAAACATTAACAGAGAGAATACAAGCCTACAAAACAAAAACAAAAGTCAACTTTCATCACTCTTCATCTCAGATGTAATGAGCTATTGTTACGCGAGATTTTAGGTTTTTTTATTTAAAGTATTCAAATATTCATTCAATTAAATATTAGAATTAAGCAAAGTCAAACTATTTGGCACAAAAAAAAAAAAAAAGAAGTGTTGCAAGACATGACAAAGACGTGGGGTCTTAAAAGGAGGAAAAACTTGACTTCTAATCAAATACAGAAAACTCAAACTTCCTTACCATAGTTCATCTGGAAGTGAGAATGCGAAGTGAAGAAAATGTAGATGCAGGAAAGCAAAAATATATTAATTAATAAAAGAGGTGGCGGGCAATAAAAAAATAAAGACGAAAACTATATAATAAAAGAAAAAAATAAAATAAAGTAGTAGACGCAGAGTCTAAGAATTTGACTGGTAGTTTGTTAATGCTGATGATGCCTCTTGTTGAGAGAGGGTTCCTCTATTTATAGATGATTTTGGCTTAGTGCCCAAACTCCACAATCGTCATTTTTTTTGAATTTAGGAAGCACGTTCTCCATCGTGGCCACTTTCCTAACTTTCATAATTCAAACATTATGGGCGGAGATAATGGCCTAAATCTAGTCTTCATTTAGTAGCTAAGGCTTCATGAATATTCATTTTTAATTATTTTAAGGCCAATTAAGTTGAGTTGAGTTCGGGCCTCTAAATTCACAATTTGGATGCAAACAATTCTCGTTGCATACAACTTGGTTAGAGCTTTCATAGGCCAATTTCATATGGATATTTTCATTAGTCTCACTTCTAAGCGTTGCGTGAGTAATATGTCTTCAAAGACTGTCTCATTCTCGTTTTGATTGATGATTGATCTGGTACTTCTCTTGGATGAAACTCTTGTGATTGAGGATTAGGGGCCATATAGTCTAGCTTAGGATCAAGTTTCTCAAGGTTTAAGACCTCAAGAGCTGGTTTTAGAATTAACCCTTCAAGTTTTAAGACCTCAAGGGCTAGTTTTGAAAATCTAAATGTTGAGGAGGTCGACCTTAGGACTTTCGCCCATATAGAGAGAGCCCTTTGGGAAAGGGCCCCTGTAGAGCTTGCCTTTTCGACTTTGGCCCCTGTGGCTCTGATCCTTGTGGTGTAGGCCCTTATGGCTTTAGCTCTTGTCCTCTTTGGTGGCAAAACATGTTTGCCATTGAGTTAGACTTGGCACTTTGGGAGATTGCCCCCCGAGTCCCCCTATTATTTGAACATGCACACCAATTAGAACTTGCTCTTGCGACGATCTAGACAAAATGGCAGAGATGTTCCTTAGCCCGTCCTTTAAAGTTTACAACAGAGCTCTTTGTCTCTCATTAGCTTGGCATTCCAACTTTTCTTAAGCTTTGGCTCGTTCCTGTTACTTTTGTAGATGTTGTCTCTCGAGTTTCTCTACTAGTGCTTGCGAGGTTATTGCTTACTTATTAATATGGTCCTATATCATGGTTAAAGACAAAGCTGAAACATCATTAGACACAATAATAGGAGGTTTACCTGAGCAAGAGGATTTGATGTCATCGTCCCAAGCTAGTGGGCAAGGCATTCCTTGAGGAGGTGTTACCTGTCTCCCTACGATCACTAGAGTATGAGAGGCCATTACGAGTGTAGCCACGTTCTCTAAGTTGTAAGACTCAAGTCTGTTTTTGACAACAATATATTGATCATTATGTGTCTCAAGCATTTCGTTTGCACGAGCCCCACCAAGCGTGCAAAAAATTGTTCAACAAAAACAAAAAGGGGTGTCACGAGGCTTGCCAAAGACGCAGAGTCTTAAAAGGATGGAAGAACCTGACTTTTAATCAAATGCAAGGAACTTGAACTCCTTTACCACAATTCACCCAGATGTAAAAATGCGAAGTGAAAAAATTAATGTAGATACAGAAAAGTAGAGATACATTAATTAAAGAAAACGGTGATTGGCTATACTATAGAAAAATAAAGATTAAAACTACATAATAAAATAAAAAATAAAATAAATTAATAGATGCGAAATCTGAGAGTTTAACTAATAGTTTGTTGATGCTAATAATATCTCTTGTTAAGAGAGAGCTTCTCTAATTTATACATGATCCTGGCTTGATGCTCAAATCCCATGATCACCATTTTCCTTGAATTTAGGAAACACATTTGCCATCATGTCCACCTTCCCAATTTCCATAATTGAAGCATTATGGGTGGAGATCATGGCCTAGGCTCGGTCTTGACTTAATAGCTAAAGCTTTATGAATATTCATTTTTAATTATTTTAAAGTCGATTAAGTTGAGCCGAGCCCATGTCTCTAAATTCATAATTTAGGTGCAAATACAAACATTTAATAAAGAGTAACAAATTATTAATGATACTAAGAAAATGACTCATTTTCTATAGTGAAGCAGGATATATTCCAATTACACAAATTTCATAAAGAATCATTTTTGGGTTCGCTGTTTACTTATTAAGAACTGTGGATATCCACATGTGCTAATGAGTCTTACTTTATCTGATCCTATTTATAAATTATTTTTTTACATGTTTTATCAAATTAAAGAAAGTTTTAAAACTTGTTAACTATATCTAAAAAGTTAACAAGTTTTTAACTTTATTCTTATTAAATATACATAATTTAATGATATTTTTTTTCTTATTAACATTTAACGAGCGATAAAAGAGAAAACTTATTAAAGAAAAAGTTATTAACATGCTTTATAAATAAGATTAAAAAATATTAGGTTCCTTGCCTCATTCTGCCCCCATCTTTAATATAAAACACTTTTAATTACTTCATCATAATAAAAAAAAAGAAGTGGTTAAGCCATTAACTTTGTTTAAAATAAAATAAATTTTTAATTTATAAATTTGCATTATATTTTTGCTAATAGTTAATGGGTTTAAGTAGAAAAAATATTGCAAAATATAATTAATAAGCCATCAAGTTGACAAAAAATTCTTCTAAAAGGCATGCTATAATGACCAACGGAGTGAGTGAACAAGATGGGAGGAAGGATAGGCTACATACTTGATACATGCATTGGCCGCTTCAGGTTGGACATTGATCCTTCTGCTGGAAATGAAAGCATAGAATAGCCAGAGCCAACTTAGACATACAGATTTGTATCTTGTGGAGCCAGTCAGCCAGAGGATGTAAAGTGGAAACATTTTACTGATTGTGATGATGCCTACCAGCTTTTGAACGACACAGGATTCATTGGATAATCATCCTTTGGGGGACATCATCAAGGAAGACAAAATGTCGTTATTAGATAGTTCATTTTGTTCTGTCGTTTTTGTATGTAGTCAAATTAATTATGGAATGTATATGTGTTCATGGGCTTGCATGTTTTTTGACATTAGGGTTATACATCCCCTTATATTATGTTGATTGATGATGACCCCATACTTTGATACACCCTCTATTCACAATTCAAAATGAGGAGGAAATAGAAATGAAAAAAATTAAACAAAAAATAGAAACAAAAGCCATTTTTTAATATAATTTTTTTATTGACAATTTTTTTTCTTTTAATTATCCTTTTCTTTAGGGGAAGATGAGGAAAAATAAAGGTAAAAAATGTCATTTTTATCTAATTTTCTATTTTTTTTATATTTTCTTTGCTTTCCGAACAAAATGTCTGAACAAGATTTTAATGTAAGAAGAAAAATGAATTTGGCTTTTCATTTGGATTTAAAAAAAGGATGAGACTTTAGTGTAAGAATAAATACTATAAGCAACTTCTAACTATTTTATTGGAATTAAAGAGAGTTGGTTAATTAAAGAGAGTTGGTTAAGTTATTAATTTTGTTTTAAAATAAAATAAACTTTCAATTTTAATCTTATTTAAATAAAAAAATTTTAAATTTGTATTATATTCTCCCTCATAATTAATAAGTTTAAATAAAAATAATATTAAAAAATGTAATTAATATCCATCAAATGATTTTATATTAAAAGCAAAAAAAAAGTTTAAAAGGTCATCGAGCATGTGTTAAGGATAACACCGAGAATCGGAAATATCACATGCAAAAGTCAGAAAAGGATGGTTTTTGTTTCTAGGCGTCCAGAGAATTAAGAGTTGAACCAGGCATATGTCTTGCCGTGCTCAAGTTATAATCTTTCATGATTTTCAATTGGTCATTAAGCGAAGAGATGACAACCTGCTGAAGTTGCAAATGATATGTCTTATGGAGACTATCAGGAACTACATTAAATGGATCACTAATTTGGAAGAATTTGGAGCTCCTGGATTCTCTAATATTACAATGGTTTTTATTAAGAAAAGACAAGCCAAATTTTTCATACAATCTGCCGACAAGGATGCTGCTCAAAAAATTATGGTTCATGATATTAATAGTCTTATGTATTATTTTAATAATGTTTTCTTTAAACTTTTACCTTCTTCAGCTTTAGATGCTTGGAATAGGTCTTTTCTAAGTGCTGACTCCCCAGACGAGTTGATCTTGTTTCTCTTAATTAGGTTTCTTTTATTGTATCTTTGTTTCTTATAATAAAAAAAAAAAAAAGGATGACGCGCGAATTCATCGTTAGCTGAGGGCAAAATTGTAGATTTAGTCAAATAATGAGATAACAAATGAAACGAAAGTGGCAATCTGCCATTGGCCAAAAAAAAAAAATGATAATAAAAAAAGTGGACAATCTATTGGCCCAAAAAAAAAAAGAGGGTGGCAATCTGCTGCATCCGGGTATATTATAGGCAATACATAATGCCCACTCTCTCCCGCAAAACGGTATTATAGAGCGACACCCACGCAAGCCTACAGGGTATACCCGGAGAGACAGGGACAACTCTCCGAAAGCCCGTTTGGATCCTCTCTCTCTCTCTCTCTCTGCGATCTCTTCCCATGTCGCTGGCGACCTGCTGTTCCTAACCTTTGCCGAACGCTTCTCAACGCTATCTCTTCTCTTTTCAATTCCGATCTCTTCAACTCATCCAATAATCTCTTTACAGGGAGGAATTGAGACTTTCGTCTGAATAGTAATAGTCTGTGTTCAGTTATCGCCGATGGCAGCACCACCAGCAAGGGCTCGTGCCGATTACGATTATCTCATTAAGCTTCTCCTTATCGGAGATAGCGGTTAGTTATTGCTTCCCTTTCCCTGGAATCTAATTCGTATACCATTTCTGTTTGCTTGACTAGAAAATGAAGGCAAATGGTTTTTCAAGTTTCCAGATCTTAATGCCGCCTTTACCTTGTTTAGAATTTGGTTCATTATTAGAATTGGTTTTGTAGGGAAAAGGGCTCGGCAATATAGTTGTCCGTGATAGGGGAGCCCTTGTGATTCTTTTGGAGCTTGACTGTTTGAGCTTAGAAGGATAACAGCGGTTTTTCGTTGAAACATTATTTTTATATGGGATAACTAAATTATTATTATGGTAATTTATAGTTTATAATTATAATTATAATCATGAATATCGTTATGTGTTACAGGAAAAGGAAATATGTTTATACGACGGTTAATTTTATCGTTTAAAATTCATACCTTAATGCGTTGTAGTATCTGTACGTTGAAAGTGGAAATGTGTATATTGATTTTTTTGGATAGACAATCTTGAAGGCTTGCTCGTTAAACTTTACTGTATGATTCCTTTTTCACATTTTTGTGATTGCTCGGCTATTCAATCATGATCAACTCATGATCTTATTTGTATACTTTGAGTTTATGTTGTGACCAACAAAACAAGGTATAAAAATGGGTTTCCAAATTTCCCTCCTCGTAATAGTTTTGCTTCCCTTATCTGATAACGGCTTCTTCATGCCGCCGCTTAAAAGCTGGTAATGGGCGACCTTGATGTTGAGATTTATGCATCCTATAGTATGCTCTTTAGGTAGTTTACTTAAATCTATTCACATCTCTAGGACTTCTGAGTTCTGACCAATTGAGATGGTTATATGTGGCCTCTACATAACTTCGAAGGAGTATCTTTCCCCCCTTTTATAAATCTTTGTTGTAGACCTGATAATTCTACTTGGGAGAAGATCAAGATTCATTGTCTATAACAACTTAATTTTATAACTTTTAAATAATTATTAGGTTTTACAGTAGATGAAAAGTGGCTTTTTTGGCCTTATTGCAAAGTCCTGGAAAATATTTTAGGGAAACCATGAAAGTATAGGACACATTGTGAATTGTTTTTGTCATTAATTCTGTGAAAGGTGGAAATATGAAGTTTGATATGCTTCTTTTGCACCCTTTATTTATCAGTAACCTGCTATAGTCTAATCTAGTGGTGATGGGGTTCAGTAACTTGCTACGTTCATTCCTCCTGCAGTGTACCAAAATCAATTCTTTATTGGGCAAAAGGGTATTCAAATTATATAGAGTTGCTAATTATAAAAATTGACCTGCTTTGTTTTAGTTACTTTAGCTTTTGTCCTTGGTTTAAATCACTACAGGTGTCGGGAAGAGTTGTTTGCTATTGCGATTTTCTGATGGTTCCTTTACCACCAGTTTTATCACCACAATTGGGTTAGTATTGACTTTTTGATAGAAACTTCTCTCCCTTCTTTGTTTTGGGTTTTGAAGCAGTTTCTGTTGTTTTAGTGTCTTCATCTTTGAAGCGTGGACACTTGAAAGACACAATTTTATCATTGTCTTACTCATTATGTTTGAACTGTGCATAGCACAAATTTTTTAAAACTATCCTGGCTCTCATCTTGAAAAAAAGTACACATAGACTTCTTAAATTTTACGAAGACATTTATTAAGATTGCTGAAAATTTATCTTTTTTCTCCATAATATGATTTTGAACCCATCATAGGGAGCGATTATTGTCTAAAGTTCATAGGGTTACAAATTGTGTATTTATGTAGTCATTGTCTCAACATTGGAAACCAGATTGTCCGCATGTTCAGCCTCTGTCCATGAAGATACATCTACGCTGTGTTTTTTTTGTTGAAAATGTGAAATGTTATCATGATTTACTTTATGGCAGCATTGATTTTAAGATAAGAACCATTGAACTTGACGGAAAGCGCATTAAGTTGCAAATATGGGATACAGCTGGTCAAGAGCGATTTCGAACAATCACAACAGGTTTTGTGTTTTGTCTTATACAATCATTCAATTTATTTTCCAATACATATGTTTGGTTCCTGCTTAAAAATGTTACTCATTTTTGCAGCTTACTACCGTGGAGCCATGGGCATCTTGCTGGTTTATGATGTTACTGATGAAGCATCTTTCAACAGTACTCTCTTTTTCACTCATTGTTGCATGTCCAAAGCTGTTTTCATAATATTTTAATCAAAAGAAAATCTTTGTTTCAAGGATCACTTTGTGCATATTAGCATTTTCAATTTATTCTCTTAACTTGAGAGTATTATTTGTTTGTTGCCTTCTGTTGGTTATGGCTGATCCATCAATTTTTCTATCTTTTTTCCTTTCATTTATTCTCACTCACTCTCCCTCTCTCATTAACAGTGAATTGATTGGGGGAATAAGGATCTTTCTCATCATTATTTTCTGCCTTTTCTTTTAATTAACGTGTAGTTTACATTTTTTCTAATCAGATGCTTCGAATTGGATTTGCAAAATGGAACAAAGTACTTTTGACATTGTTAACGAGGATGTTTTGATAATATTTCCTTGGTTGTTTTTTTTTCTTTTGAACAAACATTGCTTGGTGTTGTTGAAAGTTCAAATATATTTGGATAATAATTATTCCAAATAAAATATGTGTTTCAAGGAATACGTTTTATACATCAATCTTTTTATATATGTACTCATATTTTAAATATCATTTGTAGCCTTTCATTTTCTACGGCATTTTGGTATAGCTTTTTCCATTTCTTTTCACTCTGTCTTATTAGCATTGAATTAGGTTTAAAAATAGGATCCATCTTTATCTTTGCTTTTTGCCTTTCTTTCAATTCACAATTAGATTACTTTTTGCCATTCAGATATTAGGAATTGGATTCGTAACATTGAACAACATGCTTCTGACAATGTAAACAAGATACTTGTTGGCAACAAGGCTGATATGGACGAAAGTAAAAGGGTATGTACGTTTGGGGTTTCTTTAGCTCACGATAATTACATCTTGGATTGGTTATGCATAAAACTATCAGTAAGAAGCTTATGCATGACTTGCATGGTTGACTCTCCCTGCTCAAACACCCCCCGCCAATTATTATTTTTTATTTTTTGTAAGAGTGTGATCAAGGGTCTTTGTGTCTTAGTGAAATGCTAGATTCTTTTTGTTCATCCAGAAGGTAAACGCTGCAATTTATGGTACTCTAGGACTTCTAACAAAGTAGGATTTTATTTTATTTTTTCTCATGAAAGGATGTTATTTTCTTGTCTAATAAACAAGAAAAGATTTTATTGCAACTGATGAAATTGGGAAAGCTTTCATGAAAAAACATCCAGATAATAAACTAATCTATTTATCGAAGATAATAAACTAATCTAAGCATTTTGTGGGAAGCCAAATTAAATGGCTTAGTTTGTGAGTAATATATATTGGGCTGCGTGATTTAGACTGTTTTTAATTATTTGAATTAAATCTTTTGAATTATTGAGTAGTTTGAATTTGAATTATTTCAAATTAAACTTTAATTGGATAGTAAAGTTAATTCTATGAATATGCTATCGAATCATTGTTTCTTTACATTGTAATGTATTCCATGCAATGCCTGGTCTATTTATCTAGCTATGAATAAAAAGAGAAAGGTGTTAATGATGTGATCTGATGATTTTGACTTGTGGGCTTTACTTTGTTGATGATCATACTTGTCTGGGAAATTGAACATCACTTGTCTAATATCACTTAAGAACCCGAAGCAGGATTTTTCACACTGAGCTCTTGGCAAATTATTAACAAAAGGTCATCGAATAATGAGTGTTGGTTGTATCTGACTGTAAATTTATGCTCTAATTAGTTTTCATTTAATATTGACCCATATGATTCCTTTATATTACTGAAGGCCGTGCCTACCTCCAAGGGTCAAGCTCTTGCTGATGAGTACGGTATCAAATTCTTTGAAACTGTAAGTAGCAGTATGCTTGTTGACGCCTTTCATTGAAAACGTGCAATTCTGTTATATTTATATTGTAAGAACACATGCAGAGTGCTAAGACAAACATGAATGTGGAGGAGGTTTTCTTTTCAATAGCAAGGGATATCAAGCAAAGACTCGCAGAAACAGATTCTAAATCTGAGGTAGGTCTCTAGCCTTTTCCTTTCATTCATTTTCTTTTCAAAAAGTCTTACTCTAGCTGGTGGCCTTGTAGCCTAGTGGCATATAAGCTCTCCTGTAAGTGAGAGGTTGCAGGTTCAATCCTACTTTTAACTTCAGGGTGTTAATGCCTGCCCCTCTAATTCAAAAAGAAAGAAAGAAAGAAGGAAGGAAAGAAAGAAAGAAAAGAAAAGAAGTCTTACTGTGTTAAATGCGTGCATGAATGGGCTTCTCTTTCCTTTGTACCTACCTTGTTTCTTGGAGGACTGACATCATGCCATCGCATACTGGCATGTAAGCTCTCCTACAAGTGAGAGGTTGCGGGGTTTATTCTGTTTGTAACCTCAGGCTGTTAGTGCCTGCCCTTCTAATTCAAAAAATAAAAATAAAAAATAAGTCTTACTGTGTTAAGTGCGTGCATGAATGGGTGTCTCTTTCCTTTGTGCCTAGTTTCTTGGAGGACTAAAATCATGCCACCGCATATTGAGTACAGGTCCCTTCTCTTGTAAGAGAAAAGCATATCGAAGTTATGGGGTTTTTTTCCCCCCAAAATGTTGAGGAATCATTACTTCTTGCTTACTGTTAAATGTTGATGTACTATATTTTACTCTGTGGTGGTTCAGCCTCAAACTATCAAGATTAACCAACCTGATGCTGCTGCTGCTGGTGGTCAAGCCGCGCAAAGGTCAGCATGCTGTAGTTAAAGAGAATCACCATCCACAGTCGTGTTCCCTTATCTGGGTGCTAGAGTTAATTTGATGACACTAAATCTGAGCCCTTGTATTTGTCCCTGTATTTTTCGACTGCAAAGGTGGTGTTTCAATGCTAGTGTTTTATTAGTCTTGCTCTGACTACTTCATTCGCTTCACCTTCCTCTTCCATTTGTAGTATGACTATAAGAAAATATTTTACATAGATTGTGATAGATTACCAGAAAAACTTAATCTATTGCAAGTTCATTCTAAATATTCTTATTTGTCCTTGCTGGGTTTGGAATCTACATGATCAAAGGGTCCAATTTTTTTTTTCCATAAAAAAAAAATCAGTGGCTGATTCTAGTTTTCATTAGCCGAATAGTGCATTCTATGTATAGAAATTCACTGCAGTTGTCGTTTAATATTTGGTAGAAGACTAGTTAACTGTAATGTGGTTACATGAAAGCTTTTGTTGAATGGACGAAGAGAAGGTGGACAGAAGGTAGAGAAGCAGAGGGCTTCGAAGGAGATGAATTGACCATAGATCTCTGAAAGGCATCTAAAGTTGTGTATTTGAAGACATAATATTTTTTAGGGCATAGTCATCATATGTTGCGGGTGTTTTTCTTTTCTTCTTCTTTTTTCTTTTGATGAAAAACGAAACCTAGGCAAGCTAGCCTGTACAACCATGCTAAGTGTTAAAATCCTTGGCCATAACAGCTCGGAAGCTCCTCAGGTTCATTTGTTGAGTCCCTATGCAGTTGCATTACTCTTCCTGTTAAATTGCTGCATAGCCTTGCATGACTACCCTGTAATCAGCATGTTCCACATTCAGAGTTGATTAGTTCCAGTGCTGCAAAGGAATCAGTTTCAATCCACTTTTCAAAAACCTAGTTTCAAAGCTCAGCAGATAATCTATCCCCTTCCTCCATTCTACAAGTGAATCCCAGTAATAAGTTTCCTTGCGAGTTTCTAAGAGCCCTTTGCAAGCGCTTCTCAAATTTTGATGTTACATATAAGATCGTCCTTACCAATTTACATGAACTCCTAAATAAAGGTAATCATAGGATAAATTTAAGAGAATTATCAAGTTTATAAAATTATATAAATAGGATTTTAAGTTTTTAAAACTTTCATAACTCTACTATACTTCCATAAATAAAAAATCAAAGTAATTATGTTTATGAAAGTATAGGATACTAATTTGTATTAAATTATTTGCATTTAAGATGAAAAATAACAAGTAGGAGTGAAATTGGAGGGATGCACTACAATATGTGTACATGCACCACAACTTGTTCTCTTCTGTATTATGTGTTGCGACGCATGGTATTGTATAGAATTTGATAACATTGTGATGTCCACGTGCCTTATTTCTTCGTCCAATATCCAATTGAGATGATTTAAGTGTTTACAAAAAGCTTTTTACATGAACTAGCTAATAGCACAAGTTTTACTCCAGAAAGATTTCACACGAAGGAGTTGAATACACAAACACACTTTTTACACTTTTCATATTATAAGGGTGTCCAAAACTCAACACTTGTATCAAGAGCTACAACTAACACCTAGATCATATTCAACTTGTGCAACACACCATGTGCACATAATAATAACTCTATCTCATTTTCATTCCTCGACCCTTTAATATCAAAAACATAAGGGGAAAGTAAAGCATTACATTTAATCAATATTCATGCATAATGAGCAAATAAATTATTTCTATACTTACACTAGTATTTTAGCGCTCTACAATCAACATATAGCATACACATAAACTCAAGGCCCAAAATGCAACAATCTCAATTATGTAATGAAATAATGCAAGTATAAATTCAAATCATGTCTCTAGTTTGGCAATATCTTAAAATTACAAATAAGTCAAGATGAAATTTAAGGGATTATGATAGAAATGATCAATTCCTAACCTTTAAAGCTTTTCTCTTTTCAACACTCGAGCTAGAGTTTGTGAAATGTTAAGAGAAAGTGATGAGTATAACCACTTAGTAACTAAGGTTCCTCTACTATATATAATTACATATTAATTGATATTTTATAAACAAAGCATATATGAGACATACAATCACATATTCACAACTTCACATATATCTCATGTTTTAATTGTATAAATAATCATATCCACACTTCTTATAAGTAATTTCACAAGGTATATTGCCACAATAATAACAATTATATGATAATGGCACAATCAAATACAATAATGCGCATTGCCACAATAATAATAACCATGTGACAATGGCACAATCAAATACAACAATGCGTATTGTCACAATAATAACAACAATATGACAATAGCACAATCAAATATCATGACTTGTCACAAACTTAACAATCATGTGACATGTTGGATAATATGCATGATGGAATCAACTTTATATCCTCATTATACCTTTCGATTGAAATTATAGGCTATAAATCATACAGGACTATATTCGTGTAAATGGACTACACAAGTTCACTACTTATGAGGAATGACCTGGCCAAAGATCACTACTCTCACTCTTAAAGCATGGCTTCCCCTATTCTCAAATCCCTGGGGTGTTGTAAACACTAAGCTAGTCTCCTCAGGGAACAAGTAGAGACAAGTTAGGTTTGAATTTCTCGATAAACAATAGGACAATCCCCTGAAAAATAATGGGATAATGGCTACCTCCTGATCTCAACAATTGGTAGCCAAGCTAGCTTTCAATTCCAATGATAAATAACCAATACCATGCAAATTTTATCACTACTCTTTCTAGACAAACTCTCGCTACTACAATCATGTAGTGTCTCATGCTCACATATTCATCTGTTTGCAAATCATAATAGCAAGCTTATTTTCAAATATTTAACAAGCTACAACATGTGAGCATCATATGCAAATCCACATCACTCAATCACAATGATCAACACATACCTCCATATGTCATCATTTCATCATACACATATACCATCACAACATCTCATGCATCAAAAACTCATTTCTCATTTTATCATATTCACTCACTTTTCAAATCAAAGCATAATCTTGGATTTCACATCATCACATCAATACACATTTTCATGAATATTTGATTATTCCTTTCAGAATTTAATAGTTACCAGAATTCCATTTGCTCCTTTCAAAAATTGTTTCATGGAAAACATAGTGAATTCCAACATTCAATCTATATGCATAATAATTTGGAATCCAAATCAATTAGCACACAATTACTTAAAATAGGTTTTTCCCGATTAACTCAATTTTTTGAGTGATCAAAAGTTATCCCTTAATAAATGCTTCCAAAGCTTGACCTCAACCTAAGTCAATGCACGAAACAATTAATCTATAATTAATTATTTCAAATGCCATTAATATCATCACTATATAGCTTTACTACTCCATTTCAACACTTTGAAAATCCTAACTTTACTTCCATTCATAGTTCCTTAGACCCATTAGACATAATTACTTGCAACAACTTCCATTGGCCTCATTAATTCCTTTAGGGTCATAAATAGCTATCATTACTCCTCAACAACTATATTTATTGTCCTTTAATTATCAATTTCATCCATAATGATGAGCCTATGCTTAAAGACACATAAAACCATTAATGCTAAGTCTAGAGAACTTAAACAACTCCCATTAACTCCATCTAAATCAATGAGTTCAAACCCACAGCCCTTATGGTCCAAAAATCAACTCCCTACTATAAACTCTAGCTTAAAAATTAGTGTAGAGAGGAAAGGGAAGGATGGAGAAGACTTATCTTAGTGATTAGGAGCTCTAAATCCTCCCAAACTCCTCTTAACCTCGTGCCCTAGCAAAGTATGACTTGTGCTCTTCATTTTCCTTCCTTTTCTCCTTTTTATTTCAAACTCTAAACATTTTATCAAAAATTTTGACCATGTGCTGCCGTACACGCAACCTGTGCCGCAGTAGATGGCACAAGGAAGGACTTCTTCCTATTATGTAATGCGTTGTGGCTTATGCATCATATGCTATGATGTGTGGTGCAACAAGGTGACCCTGGAGTTGTCTTTCCCTTCATAGTCCAGATGGCCCTATTTTGTTCTAAAATTGATCCTTAAGTTGTAACCATATGCCAAAAAGGCATATTAGCCCTCTCTAACTGTAACGTTCTCACTCCACTAAACACAATTAAGAAATAAAACTCATGGTAATTAGAGAATTTGCTCAAAAAGTGATTACCAAGGTTTAATCTAAAAGTATGGGATCCTAATTTTTCTAAGTAGAAACAAGTTAAAATCGATCAAAATCTATTATATCAGAGTAAAAATATGTTTTGGAAGCATGAGATATCTCAGAAGAGTGAAAGAAGTCGAAAATGGTTGAAAAACAAAATATGTGCTATGATTCAGAGCCATAGGTCGCGGCTCGTGCATGCTGTGTCATGGTGTGATGCTCTCTATGCCACGTACCGTGGTGTGTTGCACGAAATTTTACTAGTTATGCTGTTATATGACAGTAAAATTGGGGAAACTTTTGACTCGCCCCGATTCTCCGTTCGACGTCCGAATGAGGTGATCTAGGTGTTTACAGAAAGCTCTTTACATGAACTAGCTAATAGCATAGGTTTCACTTTCAAAACAAATCATACTAGAAAGTTGAACACCCAAACACACTTTAACTACTTTTCAACACTTTTACACAAAATGGGTGTCCAAAACCCTCAACAAATGCCAAAAGCTTTTCCTAACATCTGGACCATGTCTAATAGACCTAGGACTACCAGTACAACATGTCATAAACACCAAAACATCAATATAACAAAAATTTACTCCTCAACCCTTAATTTACCAAAAACAAATAGGGAAGTAATTTGCTATTGCATTTAACTCAAATTATTCAAAACATGCTCAAATCTTCATTTTTATACTTATACTAGTATTTTAGCCCTATAGACATATATATATATATATATATATCAACATGCATAAAGGCTAAGGGCCTAAAATACAATTCTAACATTTTCAACAACCAAAATAGTGCAAGTGAGGTAATACGCATCCTAAAATTGGCAAGCCATATACTATTACACAATTAAAGCTAAATTAAAGGCATACAGTAGGAATATGCTAATTCCCTGCCTCTTTAGTCTTCTCCCTCTCAACACCAGAGTTAGAGCCTGAAAAGTATTAAACAAGAGGGGTGAGTCTAGCTACTCAGTAATCAAAATTAAACCTACCTTATGCAATTATATATTAATTATAAAACAAATACATGAACAAGGAGATTAAATTTATAAAACTTGTCCCCATTTATC